AAACTTTCTTTTTATGCAGCCGTATGATTAGATTCTAGACTATATTCTAAACTAACCAGAACACTAGATCTAAATTTCTAGATTCTATGCAGTATGTATTAAACCTATAGGCCTAATATTTATTTTAAATTCCTATGCGATGTGTCGTGAACTGTAGGTTTCATGTTATTTTTTAATGGCGGAAATCAGTTTAAAATTTCGTTTCCTTCGCTTTGTCATTCTATTTATAGATTCTATTTATAGAGTCGGAGCAAAGAAAAGATAGGCTTATTATCATTGAATTAGTCGGGCGATCCACACAGGAAGTGACCGTATATCTATTAGTTACTCAGTGATCCGATCATTGACAGATACAGAGATAGCCATTCGCATGGGGTGCTCTTCCTCTCTTTCTCTCTCTCTCTTGATATATATATATATATATATATATATATATATATATATATATATATATATATATATATATATATAAAGCAATGTATGTCTGTGTGTGTGTGTGTGTGTGTGTGTCTTTTATGCATTACCACACCTCTGATCACATCGCCGTGAAACTTAGGGAAGTTGTTGAGAATATTCCTGGGGAGGTTTCTGCGAAAAAAAATATTTCAAATTCGCAGGGGTGGCGCCCCGCCATTGCGCGATTCGTGTTTCTCTATATACGGTATATAAACGTAATAAAAGTGAATTGCAGTGACACCGTTCACACGATCACCATGAAACTTTGGGAAAATGTTGAGAATACTCCTGGGGAGGTTTTTGCGCAAAAAACATTTTCAAATTCGTAGGGGTGGCGCCCCGTCAGGGCGCGATTTGTTTTTCTCAATATACGGTATATATAAAAAAAAAGATTTTGGTTTGGCACCGTTCATCCAATAGCCATGAGACTTTGGGGAGTTCATTATACCACTCTAGGGAAGGGTTCTATATAAAAATATTTTTTAATTTCGCAAGGGCGGCGCCATGGGAGGGTCCGATTTTTCTCTATATACGGTATATAAAAATAATAAAAGTGAATTGCAGTGACACTGTTCATCCGATAGGCATAAAACTTTGGGGAGTTCATTATAAAACTCTAGGGAAGGGTTCTGTAAAAAACATTTTTAATTTCGCTAGGGCGGCACGGGAGGCTGCGATTTTTCACTATATACGGTTTATAAAAACAAAAGTCTATTTCGGTTTTATACCGTTCATCCGTGTACCATGAAACTTTGGGGAGATGATTAGATCACTTAATGGTAGGGTTTGGCAAAAAAAAATATTGTTTAATATTGAAAGGCGGCGCCCCCGGGGGGGGGCGATTTTGTTTCTCTATACACGGTATATAAAAAATAAAACTCGGATGTGGTTCATCCGAGTGCCATGAAACTTTAGGGAGTAGATGAGAATACTCCCGAGAATATTTCTGCGAAAAAGTTTCTTATGGGCAGCGCCATATAGGGTACAACTTTCGTCAATACACGGTTTGGAGCCCAGAGTTTTAGAGCGACGATGTTGACACTTGGCATCCGTTAATCGAGCGTCCTGCATAGCGAGTAAGGGGTACTACTATATTTAGCGGTAAAACTACAACAGGCTTCTAAAAATAACTTTGCAACGCGAGGAAATCTTTCTGTACAGTTTCGTCACCTTGCCAAAGATGAAAAAAAATAACTTTTTGAATATGAGGAGCCTACTGTAGAGTTTCGTCACTTTGCGAATGATGCAATAAGCATCTATTATTAGAAAATCCAGTCAGAAATTGAGATCGAGCATCTAATAATAGACCATTAGTAACGCTAGCATATTGATCAGTCACACTGATGTTTAAAACACGTCAAATACTTTTTTTACGTGTTAAAGAAAAAATTCCTGTTCATTTGTGTCACTTTAGCGAATGACGAAATCAGCATCATTATCAACAGGATGCTATTTGGAACGATGGCGCCTGTTAGTTTTAAGGAGCCAGGGGTCGTACGGTAGTGTAATCGGAGGGCGGGGGCCCCGAGAGCGCCGCTCTACGTCTCTGACACATGGGCGGTCAGCAAATGTGTTCTACCATATTATTTCGGTGAGTGATTAATGTACACTCAAGGTTTTCATGCGGTAGTGTAGGTAAACCCGTGTCCCGATATTTATGATCCAAGCGTAGGCATTGTTTACATTTAAATAACTCACTTTTAGAAAACAAGGTCACGAGTCTAAGAATATAGGATTGGTAACGCATGGATGAAACCCTTCTGATATATTTCGTCGGACTTTCTTCTATTCCCGCGGCAACGCGCGGTGACGGGTACGCTAGTAGCTTTATAAAAATCGAATACTGTATGAAGAGTTTGAAGCATGCATATAAGTTAAAACACAAACACACACATACACACACACACATATATATATATATATATATATATATATATATATATATATATATATATATATATATATATATATATATATATATATATATATATATATATATATTATATGTATGTATATATATATATATATATATATATATATATATATATATATATATATATATATATATATATATGAAAGTATGTATACCCATAATAATAGTTTCGCTATTCTGTCACTCTGTCTTTCACTCCGTCGATCTGTTGAGAACGCTATACTATAGGATATATAGTACTAGGCATACTGCCTAACTTCGCTTAGGTTTTCAAAAAAATTGAGAAATCGAATGATTAATTAATAGGTCATTGGCTGTTATGTTAAATGCTTAGGGCCTAAATATATAGAGTGGAATAATTTCATGTCACTCAAATAATGATGGAATATTCGCAAACTTATTACTGGCAAGGTTATTAGAACTGCAATGGCTTTCTTAATAGTATCAATCAAATATTATATTAAATTATTTGCGAAATTAATTTTTACAATTTTAGTACCACGCAAAACTTAATTTATAACAAAATATCTATTTAAATCACTGCTATACTTTATGATTTTTTGTTTTTTTCCTTCAAAAGAGTATACAAAATATTTAAAAAAATATTACATTAAAAAGTTACCTTTCCTGTTCATAAACCAAATGACCAAGTCTCGTTTAGTCAGAATTTAACTCGCGGTAATTTTTAGCCCTCTTCGAGGGCTTTGAGTCTGACCAACTGTTTTTCCATACAGCCTAGTCATGTCTAGAGGTGTGTACAAACATTTAGCCAGATATACAAAGAGTAAGTATCCTGAAATCTTTATTGAAATTACCTTCTGTTTTTCCAAATAAAATACAAAGATTATAGAGGGAAATACAACTGGTCAGTTTTGACCCATTTAACGAATTTTCCCGAACATGACGAGTTTTTTGTGACACCCCAAGGCGTTCTCCTACCACCACACAAAATTTCAAGGGGGGTCGTCGGAGGAAATTTTTTTTCGTAATAGAGCTCATATAAAGAGAATTTCACTCGCGGTCACTTTTTAGCCCTCGTCTAGGGCTTTGAGTGAAACCGACAGTTTTCCCTGCCGTTAAGTCGAGGTCAGTTTTGACCCCTCTTTGTGGACTTTTCGGCCAACCGTCACCGACCCTCGTGTTCTATCTCCATAAGGCACCATCCTGCCAAATTTGACGCGCCTGCGGCGCCGGGAAGTGCCCATTCCGGCACTTGAACACTTTGCTTTATATATATAGAGTATAGAGGAAACAAAAGCAAAGTAAAAACTTTCACAGTCAAACGGAAAATGAAACATGACATCACATGGGACATATAGGAAATACACTCTTAAGCCGGAAATGTACACACAATAAAATAAAGTCAATGATTCTAGAGTAAATATGGAATTAATTAGCCAATGCCGAAAAATGCACAATAGTAATAACGTCATCGATACACATTGATAAAGACAATAACATTACTGACTAATTCATTTGTCTAATCTTAAAAGAAGTTTGAGTGCAGAGATTCTTTCACGCATCTCTCAGGGTATGCGCTAAGCCTCCTCTGCCCCCCCGCCCCCAACCCAGTGGAACGTCTTAGCCCCCCCCTCCCCAAACGAAATATTATATAAATAGAAAATATATTCTTTTACAAGTGTCCGTCCCCGTCCCCCCCACTCCGGAGAATTTTTTTTTATCCCTGTAAAAATTCACGTGCCTCACGTGCCTCACCTGCCACCCTCGCCCCCGGAAAAAAGTCTGAAAGAAAAAAATGTCTGCGTTAGTGAGGTTTATCGTTCAAACGTAGGTAATTGGTCTAGATAATAGAAGTAGGTCTACAAATGCGACAAGTGCTTCATTCACACTTTTTTAACCCGGAGGGGTGGACATTTGATTATCTGGCAAGGGTGAAAGGGGGTGGGGGGGGGGGAGACTAAATTGTCCGGGAAAGGGGGCGGACACTGGTAAAAGTATAATTTCTAAAAAAGTTTTATGTCGTTATAGGGGCGGGAGACTGTAACATTTTCTTTTAAATACAAGCATAAAGTCATTTATAGATTTAACATGTTGCATGTTGTAATACAGATAATTTGATATAAATTGCTGTAATATATTTAAATAAATCAACGCCTGTACTAAAATAAACGAGATTTGACATTCGATTAAAATCGAAACTTTCCTCTATCAAAAGCATAACAACCTTTGTCAATCATAACTTAAAAACCCTTTTTATTAGTCAAATTAAAAACACACAATTCTGATTTCATCCTTTTTCTAACCTTAAAAGCATATGCAACTTGGCACACTTACCATGTTTCTTGTAAATTAGAATACTAACTACTTAAAACAGCTAATCTTAAGTGAGAGTAACACATTATCTGCTTTTTAACTGCAGGTCTGAAATGTAAAGAATCGTCGAAGGAAAATGAAAATCAATACTAAAAGATGTGTTTTTTAGTTTGTACGGTAGAAAACGCTGCTAAAAACGACAAGGGATTGTCTAAATACAATGTATTTTAATATGGTGCTAGCTGACTTAACTGCCATTTTTTTTTATCAATAAAGGAAAAATTAGTAAGCCGTTCAATCACAAACATATAATTCGCTTTTAAGCAGTTACTAGAAAATGGAAGACCTGTTGGCAGAATCGTTACATGGATACTATACAGAAGTAGAAAGGTTACTCATAAAAGGAGATAATGTAAAGCAATTAGATGAAACAGGATGGGATTCTCTACTGCTTGCGTGTTGTAATGGCGATGATAAAACTGCCAAGCTGCTAATTCAAAATGGCGCAGACTTAACAAATGTAAATAAAGACGAGCTCGATGTTGTTATGCTTTCATCACAGAAAGGACATTATGCTGTTTTAGAATTACTTTTAGAGAACGGTGCAAATTATACTCGTGTTACTACAAGTGGATGGAACGCCTTAATGATTGCAGCTTTAAACGGCTATTGTAACATTGTAGAGCTTTTGATGACAAAAGGCGTAAGCTTACATCAAACAGACACAAATGGAATGGATGCATTGATGATTGCGTCTGAAAGTGGACACGATAAAATAGTAGAACTACTCTTGGATGGTGGTGCGGATGTTAAAAGATTGCAATCAGACAATTGGAATGCGTTAATGATTGCTTGTGGGAAAGGACATGAAACAATTGTAGAGTTACTTTTAAAAAAAGGTGCTGATTTAAATCAATTTGAAACACATGGATTAGATTCATTAATGATTGCGTGTGAATTCGGGCATGAAAAAATTGTATATTTACTGATACAACATGGAGCTGATGTAAACAGGTTAAACAACAACAAATGGTCATCTTTAATGTTTGCATGCAATAAGGGTCACTACAGGGTTGTCAAGTTACTGACTCTATGTAACCTTGATTTGTATAGAAGGACAGGGGATCACTCACACGGATTGCCAATAACAGATGTGAATGAATTAAGACATGTTGACAAGACAGTCCAACATCATAGTAGTTGTGTAGGTTACAAAGCTTTGATGATCGCCTGTGAAAAGGGATATGTCGATATTGCAGAGTTACTGCTGCAATTTGATATAGATGTAAATTGTATTACAAACGATGGTTGGAACCCTTTATTTGCGGCATGTGTGTACGGGAAGGACAAGATTCTCGAGCTATTATTAGCATATGGAGTTAGTTTGGGTCAATTTAAAAAAGAAGAAAATAATTCAGTATTGATTGCTTGTAGTAAACGTCATTATAAAATAATTGAATTATTAGCCACATATGGTGTAGATTTAGGCTGCATAGACAATAAAGACAATAATGCTCTTTTCTTTGCGGCTAAAGAAGGTCACAATGAAATTGTTGACTATCTTATAAAAGCTGGAGTTGATGTATATCACAGCAAAGACCTAGGATATTGCCCAATATTATTAGCAATAGAAAAAGGATTGACCGAAATAGCTCAGCAATTAATAGAAAATGGCGCATGTATAACATGTGCTGATAGTGAAGGTAACAATGCGTTAATTCGTGCAACCGAACTCGGACATTTTCAAATTGTTGTGCTACTTATAAAATATGGAATAAATTTAAATCATACAAATAATAAAGGAGTTAACGCGTTCCTGATAGCCTGCAAAAAATTACATGTCGACATTCTAGAGTTTCTGCTTAAATATGAGACAGATGTTAACTATATTGCAGAAGATTGTTTGAGTCCATTATTATTCCTAATTGTTTATGGACATGACAAAATCCTAGAACTCTTATTGAAACACGGAGCTGATATTGATATCATAAACAAGAGTGGCGGTGATGCTGTAATGGTTGCTTGTGAAAAAGGTCATGATAAAATCATTGAATTACTTATTAAATACGGCGCTTCTTTAACTTTTGTTGACCATAATGGTAATAATGCTTTAATGCACGCAACTAAAAATGGACACATTCGTATTGTAGAATTACTTATCCTAAGTGGACACAATTTGAACCATTTTAATAAATATGGAGATAATGCTTTACTGATAGCGTGTAGAGAAAAATATATCGATATTTTAGATTTAATGTTAAAATATAACATAAAATTAACATCGCGGGTATGTGGCGCAGTATTAACTGCCTATAAAAATAAAGACTATGACATCATAGAATTACTAACAGAGTATGGTGACTATTTTAGATCTGCAGAAATTGATGATTGCTATGTTTTAATGCGTGCCTGTAAAAATGGACATTTTGAAATTGTTGACTATCTTATCAAAGCTGGCGTGGATGTAAATCAAAGCAATCACAACGGTTATTGGCCATTACTTATAGCTTCAGAAAAAGGATTTACCCAAATAGTTAAAATATTAATAGAAAACGGTGCATGTCTAACATGTGTAGACAATATGGGTAACAATGCGTTGATTCTTGCGACCAAAAATGGACATTTTCAAATTGTCGAGCTATTAATAAAACATGGTACAGATTTAAATTATATTAACCAAACAGGAGAGAGTGCTTTCCACATAGCATACAAAGAAGTGCAATGCGAAATACTAGAGTTACTGCTTCAGTATAACATAGATGTAAACTATATTGCAGAAGATTGCGAGAGTCTATTAAAATGTACATGTCTTCATGGACATGACAAGCTCCTGGAATTCTTATTGCTTCATGGAGCTGACATAAAAATCATAAACAATAGTGGATGTGAGACAGTAATGAATGTTTGTAAAAAAGGCTATACAAAAATAATTGAATTACTTATTAGACATGGCGCTTGTTTAAATTTTATTGACATTGAAGGTAACACTGCTTTAATGTATGCAGCCGCTAATGGACATTATAAAATTGTAGAACTGCTAATGGAAAGTAGAATTGATTTCAATCATTTAAATAAAAAAGGAGAAAACGCTTTATCAATTGCATGCAGAGAATTAAATGTTGAACTTTTGAAGTTGTTACTTAAATATGATGTAGATATAAAAGGCAACGTAAGAGAAGGTTTGGCCCCATTATTATTTGCATGCACTTACGAATATTATAACATTATAGAACTGTTATTACAACACGGAGCTGACGTTAATCTGATAAACACTGAAGGGTGTGAGGCAGTAATGACTGCTTGTAAAATAGGTCATTATAAAATCATAGAGCTACTAATTAAATATGGCGCTTGTTTAACTTTTGTTGATGTTGATGGAAATGATGGGCTAATGCATGCAACTAAAAATGGACACATTCGTATCGTAGAATTTTTAATTCAGAGTGGATGTAATGTAAATAATTTAAATAAAAATGGTGAGAATGCTTTAATAATTGCATGTAGAGAATTACAAATTGACATTTTAGAGTTGCTGCTTAAACACGGGGTAAGTGTGAACTGTGTTGCACAAAATGGCTGGAGTCCATTATTATTTTCCTGTAGTTATGGACATGACAAAATTCTAGAACTATTATTAAAAAATGGAGCAGACATTGATCAAATTAGCACAAGAGGATGTGAGGCAGTAATGACTGCGTTTAAAAAAGGTCATTATAAGATAATAGAATTACTTATTAAATATGGTGCTTGTTTAAATTTTGTTGATGATGATGGTAATAATAGTTTAATGCATGCAATCAAACATGAACATATTCGCATTGTAAAATGTCTAATTCAAAGTGGATGCAATTTGAATCGAGTCAATAAAAAAGGTTTAAATGCTTTACATATTGCCTGCAGAAAATTACAAGTCGACATTTTTGTGATGCTCATTAACAGCTACAAAGATATTCGTAAACATATAGCTGAAGATTGCTGGGCTCTTTTATTATACTCATCTGTTTATGGTCTTGATAAAGCGTATGAATTGTTATTTCACCAGGAAGCAGACAGTGGTCAAACAAATCCACTGGAATGCAAGGAAGCAACGACTAATTGTGAAAAAGGTCACTTCGAAATCATAAAATTATTAAAACATCATATCCCTGATTTTAGTCAAAAGGATAGTGATGGAAATACAGCTGTAATGCATGCATCTAGAAAAGGACATATACAAATTGTAGAAAAACTGATACAAATTGGTGTTGACATAAATTTCTGCAATGATGAAGGAAATAGTGCTTTAATGGAAGCTATTAATGTCGGGAATGTACAAATTGTTAAATTATTAATAAATAGTGGTTGTGATACAAAAAGTATTAATAAGTTTGGAGACAATGCTTTGATGATTGCATGCACAAATGGACAAGACAAAATTGCAGAGATGTTACTAAACAAAGAACATGAGAAAGAATTGAATAAGGACTATAATGCAAATAAATTACATCTTAAATTGGGGTCTCAATGTAACCAATTGATAAAAATATATGATTTCTTTTTTAACGCTGTTGAAAATAAAACATTAACTACATTTGAAAGTATTGCAAAGGTTAATTTTGAGAGTGGAAATGTAAATGTGTCTATTGAAGAGATAAAGTTAGCTTGGCAGCTTTGTGAAATATGTAAGTATTTTTAAATGTATAAATATTACTTTATATATAGCAGAGTCTACATTTCCGAAACACTTTAAAAACGCTCGTATCACTGCATTAATATTGTTACATTACAGAATATAGTGTTTTGACACAATAACATGCTTTTAAATACGTATTAATTAATAGTTTATACAAGCAAGGAAGACGCAAAAGGGCTTCCGCCTTAATTAGCGTCTTTTTTTTTAAATTCTTCTACGCACAGTATAGCCAGCTAATATGTAGAATAGCAAAAGATGCATAAGTATTTTACAAAACCTTTATCAAGTTGCACAGTTTCAAATTTTGAAATTAAGTTGTTGATTTTAAATATAAATTTATTTAATACATTTTCACAGAGTTCGACGGAAAAGTATTTCGCCCACTGTCTTTGATAGCCTATTTTTTTGGGGCATGCTCGGCACAAATGTTCTTATTTGTATGTACATTAAACAAACGTTGTATTTTATAGGTAAGGATTTGTTTAAAGCAATCACATCAAGAGATGATTTTAAAAAACTGTCGGTACTAACAAAGAATGTGTTGGATGACGAGTTGTTTTCCAAGACAAAGAGGTGCCTTATATTTAAAAATACTTGCCACAGACAGCCTAACACCACATAGAAGATATAGCTGACTTACCGCTTTTGCTTTACGATAGAATTTAATCTTTTGTTCGGCAAAAATATTTCATCGTCCAGAATGATTTCAATGCATTCCCTCGATTTTCTATTGGTGTGGTTAAGAGAAATGTGAATGATACGTATTGCCAACATCTGGCAGATGTATATTTATCAATCTCGTCTAAAATCTAAAATCAACTTGAACCTAAACAATACAAATAATCTAATCATTAATATTGAATGCAAATAAATAAAAACTACAATCCAAGCTAAACATAAAAATTCTTTTATTTTTTACTAATATAATTTACATTTATACATAATTTGTAAGGGCTATAGTAAATTACATTTTGTTGATTTTATTTGTAATTTTTAAAAGTTTACTTTTCTGCCTAAATGAATAGAAATTCTAATTTTAAATTTTAAACTGATATGAGCATAGCTTTAATAAGCCCAATAAATTAAAATGATATCAAGAAATTGTAGAAAATGAATATCTTATGATGTGTATTAGCTAAAACACACAAAAAAATAATCGAAATATTAATGAGTGGTCCTATAATCTAAAAATTAAATAAATATACGAGCAATCATGCATTATAAAAAAATATTGACTATTTTTACGAAAAAATTTCAATCGGTATTTCATGGAATATAAAGAAAACAATAAATGCATTGTTATTATTAATTGGATGGAAAATTGAAAAATATGTGTCTTTATTTCAGGTCAATTGTCAGCTTTTTAACTATTCATATAAGAAAGCTAGAAAATCAGGTAATGTTTGCAAGGTTTCAATAATTCTAATAAAACAAATTATTTTGATTAAATGGAAGAGTCTAAGCGTACACAATTTAAATGTATCGTTCACAACCGGAGAAATTAAAGTCCTATATTGTTTAAAAGTTAAACAACTGAATACTAGAAATTAGTTCATAATAAACGAGTTGTATCGTTTATAACTAATTATATTTAATACTATTTTTTAGTTGTCTGAATTTTTTTTGCTGCATTTTAAAAAAAAAAAAAGAAAAGTCATGCATGTTAAAAAAAGTTATTTAGCCGCCTAAAAAAATGAACACTAAAAATTTAACATGCTTCTTGGAAGTGTTAAATATTATTAATTTTGGGATTTACACATTTTTTTTAAAATTATATAGCCCGAAGCCCGGATTATCTGAATATATAGAAGAATGTATGAACAATTTAAACTTATTGTATGTTATTTCTTTTATATGTCTAGTAATCATTATTAGTATCATAATTTATTTCACTACGGTTTATTATTTAAATAATTAAAATTCTGTTTTTTAATTTCAATTCCAATATTCACAAAATCGTCGAATTTTTTCTATTCCCAGATTCCAGCCAATGATGTGCTAAGTTGTATTTCTGAAGTTTTACAAGAATATTCAACAATGAAAACGTTTAACACCGTACATTTTTACGTGTATCACAGAATATTATACAGTCTCATTTACTGTTTTAACTATGACTGCAAATACCACATGATAAACGTCGCGGAGTTACTTTTTCAGTACAAGTATGAGGGTAAAGGCATATTTATCCGTCAATTTGTAAATTTTTTGTGGATATTCTTTTCAATAGTTATAATGTATACAATTTACTCACAAAATTTTTAAATATTTTTAAAATTAATTATATTTCAAAAGTCGTGTTATGTAGTAGTCGCTGACATATATAATTTGATATTGAAAACATTTTTGAGAACATTTTACTGAAAATAATGTATTATTTATGGTTTCTAATATCATGATGTATAAACCTTATCGATATGTACTTACGTACACAATAAGCTTAATGAAGCATATTTATGTTGGTCAATTTTGAATTATATATACTTTATACCATATCGCATACGTATCATTACGTATGATTACAATTTCTTATTTACTTGAGCCTACAAAATTACTTAGAGATAAACACTTCGCAAAGAAAAAAAGTCTGACTAAAGTTTCACAAATATTAAATTGAAGTAATATATCATTTGATATAATTGTGTCTTTCTAATTATACAAAATCATATCGTATCAAATAAAGTTTTGATCTTGTGTTTTATTTTTAAATGCGTATACAATTTCTTACCTATTTGTGATAAGGATTTCCAAAGATTTAAATAAAATATTAGAATGTTACTCTGTACAAAAATAAATGAATTTTATTTTTCTGGCACATTGGAAAGTTTGCACAATATTTTCAGACGTTACCATGTAAATAAAATATCATAGTTAGAATATAAAAACACTTTTTTTAACTGGATATGCATTGTCTCTTAAATCCGAGACAATGTCTTATCTCAGACATTTTCTCTTGGGGAGGGCGGGGGGGGGGGGCACTTTTCTGAGGGGAATGATGCAGGCAAGGGAAAAGTATATATTTTCTGCAAAAGTTACACTTTTCGATTTCGTCAGGGTCTGGGAGATTGCGGGGTGGGGGTGGTAGGCAAACACTAAATGAGGGCAATGACATTCCCCCCCTTTTTTAAGGAGATATGCCTAAAACAAACTACGGAAACCTGCAATACCCAGTTGTAGTAGTTTGTATCAAATATATATATATTTATATATATATATATATATATATATATATATATATATATATATATATATATATATATATATATATATATATATATATATGTATTATTGACATGGAATAACATAAAAATTTGCAAATACTGAAAAAAAAAGAAGAGTAGAGTGTCAAATTTAATAGATGTATAAAAAATCACTTTTCTGATTTAATCTCAACACATCTTTGCAACTGAGCCCGACAATACCGTATATTCGATCATTCAGTTTATTTTGCCCAAAATTGTTATTTCAAAATAAGACATTAGAATACCACTTTTAAAATGTGCCTTATAATTGCTCCATCTAACAGGAACATATTCTGTGCAGGTTTACATGTGTCTATTATTTGCATTCATACAGTTCATATACACACACATACACAAGCACACTCAAACATATTATGTATATATATATATATATATATATATATATATATATATATATATATATCATCTATTTATTTTTTTATAAACAGAAATTATAATAAAAGTCATACAAAAAGAAGACCTATTGTACACAACTTTAACAGAATCGTCTCTTTTGACTCTGTATTTGCTGAAGTTTTTAAATGTGTGCTGTTCAAAAAGCTATCTATTCTCAAAGGTAAAATTATAATAATTTATAATACGGTGAAACAAATTAAATTCTTATAGTTCCTTTAGTTTACAAACATACTTGATTATTCTTTTCATAATGTCAAATGAAAATTTATTTTCATCCCCATGTGTTTGTAAAGCGAATGGCTGAATGTAACGTCGTCGAGATATTGACAGATTTTCTTGGCCGGCAGAAAGATGTACAGGTGGTTTTTTTTTAAATAGAAACTTACTTAAAACAAGAAAAGTATATGATTTAATGTAGAACAAACTAAATATTAGCGTAAACATGATCCATTTTTATAAGTGTATATTTTCCAGTGTGTCAACTCAAGATATGTTATGCATAACGTGCTTTCCATTTTATACAACATTGTTTACTGTACGGAAAGAACAAAAGAATTTCGGAAGGCCAATACCGCCGAAGTAAGTAAAAAACATAGGAATATCTATACCTAGTTTATAAGTAAATTTTTGAACTTCCATGTTCGCTGATAAAGAAACCGACTTTTGCAAAGAAGAATTAGATTTCAAATTTATGTCAAGAAAAAATGTAAAAATAATATTTATATATACACACACACACACACACACACATATATATATATATATATATATATATATATATATATATATATATATATATATATATATATATATATATATATATATATATATATGTATACATCATATGTTAATATGAATTTTAATAAATATGTACATTTAATTTAATTTATGAAATATGCGTTTAGATAAGTTTAGATTATTTCACCTAATGATTTACCATACCTGTTTGTACCCCGATATTACCCAACCGAAGCCATTATCTATCTGTCAATAATTCCCTGGGTAATTACTCCCCCACCCCACAGGCTCAAGAACACTTACCGTAAACGTAACCTTAATCCAAAACCCCAAGCTCAGTCCTAGCCATGAAACTTCAAAATTATATTAAAGATATAGAACAAGATAATACCAGGGGTAGGGCTGCATGATTTACTTAGAGCACAGATAAGTAATAATAATCATTAAAAAAGTTTTAAAAAACCCACGTTTTCTGATTGAACTAAAAAGTAGAAAATAAATACTATACATCACAATAATGCAAGCGATCACTCTACTATAAGCGATCAAAAACGTGGGGCGCCGAAGTAAAAGTTATATTACTATTGATTAGATAATACTATTGACTTTTATTAGGGAGCTTGTAGAGAGTCAACAGTATTAGAAACTGTAAGAAAATCACGGCGCCCCACGTTTTTGATCGCTTATAGTAGAGTGATCGCTTGCATTATTGTGATGTATAGTATTTATTTTCTACTTTTTAGTTCAATCAGAAAACGTGGGTTTTTAAAAACTTTTTTAATGATTATTATTTTCTACTTTTTAGTGTTTGTCTGTTTGTTTGCATTCAAATCTTGCTATTGATTTTATGTATTCACTTTTTTTGGGTAAACGAAGACAACTCGTAAAAAGACAACTCGTAAAAAGACAACTAGTAAAAAACACGTTGTGTGAATACGTTACTGACTAGAACACATAGATTTGAACCCGTGTCGAGTGGGATAGCAATCGTGTGCCCAACCACTCGACCATATCGTCTCCCCCAAACTGGCCACCAGTGGTAATAGTTACCTCCTGTAAGTTTAAAGTCGGTTAAAACTAAATTATCTGCCCCTAAGCCTGTCGCGAAGTGGGATCGTTCGCTTCACTGCGCGCGGCAAGAGAGAGGCTAGCTACGCGTCGCTGGTTTTTTTTCTAATGGCTCGCAGAGGAGAATTATATATATAGATTATATAGCGGTCTAAAATGCTCAATAAAATGTTTCCATTGATCAATTTAGTAATAATAACAATTGAATATTCTATGGTCATCCAAAAGAAAGCTTCCTTGAAAATTTCAGCGCGCTAGCTAACTGGGAAGTGCCAGAAATTTCGATCGGAAGATTTGATTGGAAAGACAAACAAACAGAGAAAGCAAGTTAAAGAAAACGTGGGAAAAAACGAGTTGCAGTTCTAAAATTCAAAAACATACCTAAGGCGACAATTAAATGACTTCATAACAAATTTATTTTGATTTTCTTTATTCTATAGTAGGTTGCAGCTATACGCAATACGCAAGCTGTTCGCAGATATTGTTTAAGTTTAAATTTTATCTTAAGATAGAGATTCATGTGTATATGGTGGGTAATTTAAACATTGTGTAAAATGCATTATTAAAATTCACAAGCAGAACAGGACTTACTTTAACCCCTTAACGCCGTTGTCGCGTTTTCGCGACATACCGATTTATCTTACTGCTGCCGGTTGTTGTGTATTGGGTACATCCAGACGATTGTATGGGTACCAAGGGTCACGTTGTCAAGTCGAAATTTATGACGTCACACTCTCTTGACTCACGCGCATCGTAATTTTTTGCCTTCGTGAATCCAACCTACTTACATTGATTATTATTACTAAATAGGTGATACATTTTTGCTACAAAAAATACTAATAGCTTTATTATTCACTCTATTATATATATAATCAGTATAAATCACATATGAGAATAATTTTGGAAGTTATCTTCTGATAACGGTTTGTCGCGTTTTCGCGACATCCGGCAATAAGACATAAAATGGTATTTGGGTGCCAAGCAGGTATAACTAAATACGATGCATCGCCAAGCTGTCATTCATTCAAGAATGATTATAAATAAGTAAAGGATTTACAATGTAGTATTCGCCTATATATAAAAGTGCACTTTATAATGCGATGGTCCATGTGGTAGGTGAAGTAGAGTTCTCTTGTTTGATTGACATTGGCATATGGAGAGAGAGAGAGAGCTATGCTGGAATAATGTGATCATGTTGCTAGGTACAATATAACGAATTTAGCCTTGAATTAGTATTGTACAATATTAAGATAATATAAAAAAAATCGACTACATGAAGTGAGGTAGTGAACCACTATCTTTGATACCACCAAAGAAAGGTCTTCACAGTGACCTTGACAATAATAACACTGAGCATAGACCTACACCTCGTAATAAATACAGTAAGGTTGAATACTGACAAAAATGCCTTTGCAGAGCTATTGAATATCCACATTAGTGGGCATAATACTGGCATTTAGTACCGACACTAGTGTTATTGATTACCCACATCTTCAGCACTGAGTACCCACATCTTCAGCACTCAGTACACATGGCTTCAACACTCAGTACCCACTGTTTAAGCTCTGAGTACCCATACCAGTGGCAATATGTAGCTACAGCACTGTCATTGGTAATCAAACGCAGGATCAATCGAGCACAACAGCCGTAGCACGAAGAACCGAAGTCGGAAACATAGGGTACCATCAACAATATCAGTGAGTACCCACACCGGAGGCACTGAGTACCCACAGCAGTGACACTAAGTACCCACAGCAGTTGCATTGAGCATGTAATAATATACAACGTCTGAACACTATCATTTAGGACAGTCGTTGTTTACGTGCTGTGTGTGTATAGCAAATATAGGTCGAATGAGAAATATGCGTCTTTATTAGTTGACCTTGAGTTCACGAAAATGACGTAACCAGGGACAACTAAGTCTCTGCACATTGAAGGAAGTCCTTTCATATGTAGGTGTTACTGTAGTGTAGTACAACCACGACAGCAACGCTTCAAAATACCCATTAATAAGAGTTAGTCAGTGAGCAGGTGCAGCAGAGTTATGTAACTCTATGCCTGAGCTAATAAACTTGAGTTTTCTTGATTTTTGCAAGTGAGTCTACATCTCCTTGCATGTTCATATGTTTAGTTTTTTATATTCTATTGTTTGTGCGTGGATATTTAGAGAAATACGTGTCAGTAAAAATAATACAATGACCCGCACACAAAAAAAAAAAAATTACTGTTTGGTCCATAACTGCCTGATGTCGCGTTTTCGAGAAATACTGTAATTAACAAAAAAAAAAAAAGTCCAAATTTAAAAGCAACTATATACCTCAAATTCAATGTCAGTATGATGAGAGAAAATCAGCAAAAATAATTTGTTAAAAGTTTGGAACATAATTCTGTCATTAAGGAGTTAATTTAACAAAAAAATGTTTAACTTCCAAACGTCCGAACAAATTTAGAGCGTTAAAAGTAATAAACACACAACGACATATTAATTAAAAAAAAATTAACAGTAACTGTGTATATAAAATAATGTATAATAAAGTTCTTTTTGTCTTACAAGGTAATAATCAACATGAATTCCAGTAATAAAGCGATCTCATTCCAATCAAAAGTTTTACTGTCCTTAATTGGAGACAATGTGAGAAAAGAGACAAAAGGTAATAAACAATTTCATCTGAATTCCCTCGTTCAATATAAATATGAATATATTCAAAGGCTAGTTAATTTTCACATTGTTCTCTGTAACCCCTATTCTTTTATTCAGTAAATTTAGAATATTCAACCCTAAAAGAAAGCACATTTTGACAAACGTTTAATCTTCACAGCGATGCCGACATTTTGTCAAAATAATTTTTAAAAATTTTTACACGTTTTTTTACACTTTTTTTTTGTTTGTAGTTTGTGAGTTTCTGGCAAATATTTTAACTCACCTTTGACAGACTTCTAATGCACCGATTTCGTTCAAACTTTTAAGATACGTCCTACTATCTATTTTTTTAAATTTAGTGAGTTTTTAATTAATCAATAAAACTAATTAAACGGTTTAGAGACTAAGAGGTGATAATAAAATTAAATCTCTAGATAGATTACTATATAATACTGTATTAAATAACAGAAGGGGTGATAACTAGCTAAACTGCTAGACGCTATCAACCGACAGCCTGTTTAAAATCGCGGAGACGGTCAATCTAGTGAAGGTTATTAGTGCAGGTAATAACGTTTTTATCTCACAGGGGGATAATCGTCTTTTAGATATTGCGATCTAATGATGGTGTTTTAAAGGTAATAGTTTTAGTTTCGACTTCATAAATTAGGAATCACTAAGAAAAAGAAAATGAAAGAAATAAAAAATCATTTCTTTTCGCAAGCTTTTTTTTTTTTTTTTTTTTTTTTTGGTGTTTAATAGATTTCCTCTCTTGCTTTCTACCCTGTTCGCGCAGGGAGGCAGCAAGAGTAGGTTACATGATTATATACAGACATGAAATATTATACATATTTAAAAGAATTTAATTCTTGCTTGTGTTATTTTCCTTGTGTTTCTTGATTCTCTTCTGGTTTCTTTTCGTATTTCTATATTTTCCTGTTTCCTTGGTTTACTTGTTTTCATTTCCGGTTTCTTGGTTTCCTTTGAAATAACATAAAGTACATGACAAACAAAACATGATCGCTTATCGTCCTTTGGCCTTTGTTCTTGCACGTGATACAATCTTGGTTGGTTAGTGGTTTCTTCTTGGTTGGTAGTTGTACTTTGGGAGTGTTAGTGAGGGATGTTCCGTGGTTGCAGCGTTGATCGATGCGTTGGTGAGGCGACGAGTTTCGTGTGTTGTCTTGATGGTAGTATTGTTCGATGGACTGGGGCTTGGAGAGAGTAGCGAGCATATATTTGAGGTGAGCGATGTGTCGAGTGTTTATTTTAGGTAAGTTGAGTAGTTGGTCTTGAGAGGCATTTAGTTGATTTGCTAGTGTTTGACGTAAGCCTCCCACCTAAGATTTCTCCTAGGTGGGTGTCGTCAGAGTGGTAGTGTTTGTTGGAAGCGAGGTAGATGCGTTTGACGTATTAGGTGAGTTCGATTTGCTGAGCGAGGTAGTTGCGTGTGACGTAGTAGATGAGTTCGATTTGTTGAGCGAGGTAGTTGCGTTTGACGTAGTAGCTGAGTTCGATTTGTTGGCGTTTGACGTAAGCCTCCCACCTAAGATTTCTCCTAGGTGGGTGTCGTCAGAGTGGTAGTGAGTTTGTTGGAAGCGAGGTAGATGCGTTTGACGTAGTAGATGAGTTTGATTTGTTGGCGATTTTGACAGACCTCCCACCTAGGATTTCTCCTAGATGGGTGTCGTCAGTCTGAAAAAAGAAGGTTGAAAATTAGCCGCTCGTACATTGAAGCCACCCAGTACAAGTACTGGGTGACTCATCTCGAGAGCATGTGCGTTCGAGGGATGTGTGGGCGCAACCCCACAGCGGTCGTTGGCGAGATTTGCGTGAGTTAGAGTAGTAGATTTGACCGCCTCTCGACCCCGGCAGCCAGCCCTAAAAAGGGCTGACCAACCAAATGGCTAAGATCCGTGCAGATCCATAACAGATACTACACTTTGATCTTAGCCAAAAGGCCGAGAAGCGATCAAGCTATTGAATGCACAAAACATAAGAAAATAAAGCTAGTTTGTTTTCATTTATAAAAGCTTTGGTTACTTATTAAATCTTTTACATATTCTAGAAACCAAAGCTTTTATGAAAAGAAGCAAATTAGTTATATTTTATTTTTTTCAGTGCATTTAAAAGCTTGCGATTTAAAATGTTTTTTAAATAATTGTTTTTTTTCTTCGCAATAGCTGAACTAAAACAAGCAATAATTGAAGGCATTGACAAAGCTATCAAGAATAAAGAAAGAGTTCATCTTGAAATACAACTGAATGGTCTGCTAAAGTGTCTCGCCAAATTAGCAGAAGGAGATGATGATTTTCAAGACGTATTATTCCATTTTATCTTGCTATTCTCTAGTTTCAAGCTTATTTGAATATATTTGAATATATTTTTTAAATTTGCGATTATAATAATTATAATACAAGATAATGCTAAATCATGAATATCGTAATATTCATCAAAGTCCCTCATGCAGTAAGCAATCGACTTACCAATGGAGCCAGTAAAGCAAGACTTTACACGTTACGTTACATTGGGCAGATGAAGTAGAGTTTACCAGTTTCTGTAAACTCGGAACACTAAAAGATAATGTGATCAGGTTACGTCACGCAGTCACTTGTTATAGTTTGTTTACTCATTGACATCCTAAGAACTAAGTCCGGGATCCGAAATTAGAACTATAAGTCGACTCTCTAACACCCGACAACTGCATCTTGTGCGGCACTTTTAATTATATAATAATTGGTGTTTTTTTTATACCACAACCTTTTTAAGTGTTGATGTTAAGCTATTTTAATTTTTAAAAATCATGCATCTATATTGTAACCATGTATTCGGATACTTCGCATTTACTGAAAATACAAAAACAAAAAACTCACAGATACTCAAGCTGCTTCCAAAATTTAAAGAAATCCTCTTACACGGGAACAAATCCGAGCAACGAAGTACTATTGCATGTCTAAAAGAATTAAGTAGAAGTATGGAAGCAAGTCAACAATTTATTAATGATGAAACGTTAAACAAAATGTTGGAGCAGTTGACCACTAGTCCAGACAAAGATATTTCAGACAATGCTCACTCAATACTCTGGAGATCAGGAAAAAGCATTGGAACATTGCCATCTAAAACAGGTCTGTTTTTTCTTTAAAATAATTACATTCATAAAATATTATTGAGACATACGCTTGTTTTAATATTTAAATATGAAAATTTATAAAGACTTATAAGCTTTTTTAATTATTGAATTATTAATTATTGATTCTTATTATCTGTGCCAGCATAAAATATATGTTTATCCAAGTAGATATAGTTTTTACTTATGGAATCTGAAAAACTTGAGGAAAACTACACGTCAGTTCTTAATTTTAGATAGCTACTGTTTTATCTACATATTTAAAGCCTCTACTTTTATTTATCGCAGACATGGTACTTTCTGAAGAATTCCCGAAGAACTTTAAAATCAATGAATCAATTTTAGGAAGAGGTGCCTTTGGAAGCGTTCATCTGGTAACAGATGAAACCAGGCCTGAAGAGGAAAACTTTGTTGCAAAGAAATCATGTTTTACACAATTTACCGATACAAATAGTTTTCTTGTAAGTTTTTTAAAAACACTAGGTCATGACTTGTGACTATAAACAAAAATATAAATGCACATAATATGAAGGAACATTTATTCGAGATGTGTAAATGGGGAAAAAATGCATAATTTATCTACTATTAAAAATTTAAGGGCTATGAACAAATAACGATAAATTATCGGATGTTTATTAGAAAATGTTAAGTGTTTTCAAAAGAATATGCATTAATATGTTTTATTCATAATTATGTAAATATGGACGTTTAAATCTGGACAGCAGTAAAATTTCATACTGACACTTATTGTTATATGTTATATAAAAGATGTTTTTTTGGAAATCCCATTTCCGTTTTATGTTCTCCAATAATTTTTGTTTCGCTTTAAAAACAAAAATCATTGCTCAGAATTTGTAGGAATATCCTGGTCAATATTTGGTTTATTGATCCATTTTCATAACAACCAGACAAAAATTATTTAAATATAAAACGACTTTCCTACTCAGTTTACTAAAAGACTGCTTTAAATGCAACAACAACGAATAATACATCCCCTCCTATCGTTGCAATCCGACCAAACCCACTCCCTCCTAAGTGTTTGTAGTAATTAGTGGATAACCCAAAAATTATTCGTATGTAAAAAATAATTTGATATTTCAGACAAGTGTCAATTGATTAGCTGCATTTAGATCCGTAGTTATTTGACATCTAATGTTTGTTGAAACATTATAAATATGATTTGGTTTTTAAAATGAAAATTATGAATTTTAATATTTTTAGGATATGTGTAAAAAGGAGGCAACGATTCTACTTAAAGTAAAGCACAGACGAATAGTTCAATTTCATGGATTTAAGAAAACAGAGGATGAGTTTTATATATTTTTAGAATATCTGAAAAATGTAAGCAAAACACGAGTTTATTTTTTTTTTAGTTAGTGTAAAATGGTGTTAGTTCTATTTCCGATTTGGTTTTAATTTACTTCAGGGTACTCTCGCCGCGTTTATATCTAAGAGAGGTAGTTTGGGTGAAAACTTGACACGACACTTTACCATTCAAATAGTGGAAGGTGTTAATTACCTACATCAGAATAACATCCTGCATAGGGATATCAAAGGTTATTGTCGTAAATATGTTTTATTTTCTAGTTTTATAGAGACCAAAAAAATTGTCTTAACGTAAACCCGATAGCTAAAACATACCCAAAGGTACATGTTACATGAGATTAAAAATGTTTGTGACATAAATAAATCATGTTTAGTGTTATTGATTTGATAAACCTTTCTTCAAGGCAATAACGTTCTTATGGAAGATGACTTGAACCTAAAGATTACAGACTTTGGTCTATCTGAGTTTGTAGATGCCAATGGGGTCTCTACAGAAATTGGGACAGTGCGATACATGGCGCCAGAAGTGATGTATACAGAAGGCAACGTAATTCAAAACTACACAAGCAGAGCAGATATATGGTACAGATTTTAATATATAATTAAAGAGCATTGTTGTGATTGATATTTTAGCGTACGGAATGGGTATGGGAGTATGTGTGAAGTGGAATGTATATTATTAAAAGATGTTGAATTGACGAGGCAAGAAAGGATGAGACGCGGGAGATGTTTTGGTGGTTAGGGGAAGTAGATGAAATCAGTCTTATTCTTGGTCTTGTCGTGTGAGGGTGTGGAAGTCTTCGTCGTTTCTGTCGTCGGCGATGTAGTCGTGTCCATTGTATGTAATTTAAAGATGAAAAAGAAAAATGCCGTCCAGTGATAATTTAATTGGATTGTTTGTGTACGTGGTATTTCAAGTCATTCGACCTCGTCCAGATCTGACATCATAACATATGATGGATACAGCGGGTCTATTGAATCTGATAGCTAGCTGTACAATTACGCCAGTCAATACTGATCGACTCTTGAGACGATCTTCACGACACCTAATATATGAACGTCTTGATCTACACTAATCTGGCCGCGCTAGATTCGTCTGTCATCCATCGCAGTGTGCTTGATCTACACCATCATGCATCCCGACTGACACTCTACGTACGGTGTACGTGTTCGACTATGACCTTAGAACGTGATCTACTCCCGTTTGAATGGATGGACATTTCGACACTTGATTTAGCCTACTCAATTCGTCATGGTTTTGGCAGAGACGGACTCCTGTTTGACCAGTGTGACATCCAGCGATCTATATCGGGTCTCTCATCGTCCATTTATTCAAATCAGTCACAGAACTACAGATGTGTTAGCCAATATTGTTGCACGTTTTAAACTGTGATTCGTGCTTGGCAGTTGTTCAAAGACCGGCATGGATTTGATTTAGGATTCACACTTAGTTCAGGTTTATTTATATATGAAGTCATAGCCTCTCGTCCCTGATCTGCTGCAAGTAAACAACAATGACCGTGCTGTTTTCGTCGTGAGGAATCTTTATCGTTTTGCAGGAGATTTTCTGCATGACCGATGAAAAATTCGTACTTTTCGAGTTTCGACCTGCATCGTCAACTTTTCGTTAGATCTCACATTCATATCATTTATTTTTCAGAAATTTTACTACGGTTGTGAATTTGGAACCTATATATATGGTCCTATTTTATGCATTACTAAACATTTCATCGGATCGCCATGAAACTTTGGGAAGTAGTTGAGAATAATCATGGGGAGGTTTCTGCGAAAGAAATTTCAAATTCGCAGGGGTGGCGCCTCGGCAGGGTGCAGTTTATTTTGTCTCCATATACGGTATACAAAATAAAACCCGATTGAGGTTTGACACCTTTCATTTGATCGCCATCAAACTGTGGTGAGTCGATGAGAATACTCCCGAGAAATTATCTGCAATAAATATGAGCGTAGCCCATCTAGTGCTTTTCTAAGAATATCTTATTGCTAATGTTATTACTATATTATACATTTTTTATTTCTCCACGTCAATATAAGCAAGTAAATTAATATTGTTTTGTGTAATAATACAACTTTATTAAGTATATAGGATTCAAATAGGTAATTATATCTGTTTAATGTATATATATATATATATATATATATATATATATATATATATATATATATATATATATATATATATCTGTTTAATATATATATTATATAATCTAAATTAAAGAATGTATGTTGCATCTTGTTATTGATCTTTTCTAGTTTAGACATGCGTCATCCATATGTAGCCTATATAATTAGACGTAAAGTAAAGTACTGTTGTCTAATTTATTAATCTTCGTTATTCATTTTTCAAAAGGTTTTAGAAATTCAAACTTTTTTGTACATTTTAAATTTTAAGTCAATAACTTTAAATTAATTATATTTAAATTGTAATTTTGATATTTAGGAGTTTCTCTGCTCTAATTGCTTTTGAGTTACAAATTGCGAGAATTGTAAAACACGATCAAGTCATGATACCAAAATCTCCTGTACATGTCACCGTCTCTTACGATCACAAACACACTGTTACAACATTAAGGAGTTTGTAAAATACTGTTACAAACAATTAGATCTTAAATTTCATTTTGTTTTCTCTCTACAGGAGTGTAGGCTGCACAGTTTTAGAGATGATTAACGGGAAACAACCAAACTCGTCAATTCCAACAGAGCAAATTGTCTTCCAGTCTTATTTAGGGAACCCACCCAGTTATCAGCTACCCGAATCGTCATCTGTTTACTTGAAGGAGTTTTTAGAAAGGATTTTACAGCGGGAATCTAACCTAAGGCCAACAGCTGAGTGGCTGTTAAAAAACGATCCATTTATTAAATGGAGACCAGGGAGGTAGAGTTTAGATGTGATCAAGTGAAATGTTTTTGAAGTAAAAATAAAATCAGCACTCTTATCACACGTTTGCAGACCTCACAGATGCATAAAATTAACATTCATCAGCGTTAAATTTTAAAGCAATAAATTTGAATTTGTATTTTGATAATTTACGATATAAAAATCGATGTAACCTATAATTTTGCTATTCGTTATTGAATAATAATGCATTTATTTGTAGTATACTTGTCTCCTTGCATTTTAAAATACTATATTTTGTGTTTTAGCTGAAATTATTCTAAGATTTATTTATCATATCGAAGAGAATATATGATTTTTTCAAATTTTAACTAACATTTACATTATTTAATAATTTAATAATATTAAATATATTAAATAATTGATTATCACTTTGTATTAATTCAAAATTTAATGTGGTTGACGTTTTAGATTTTAATTGAATTTACAATACACATATATATATATATATATATATATATATATATATATATATATATATATATATATATATATATATATATATATATATATATATATATATATATATATATATATATATATGTATATATATATATATATATATATATATATATGTATATATATATATATATATATATATATATATATATATATATATATATATATATATATATATATATATATATATATATATATATATATATATAGCTACAGGACATTGCTCCCCAGGACATTTCCCCCCGGACATTTCCCCCCGTATTTACCCCCCGGAGCAATTACCCCCCTGTCAATTACCCCCCCCCCCCCTGTCAATTACCCCCCTGTCAATTACCACCACCCCCCCCCCCCCCGGGGAATTACCTCCCGCTCCCAACTTAAAATCCTAACTCTAACTAGAATTTTATACCTATATACTACTTTAATCCAAACCTTAAGAAAAAGACCTAAACCTAAGCATCCACCTTAGCCTAAAACTTCACACAAAACCAAAACCAAAGCTAGACACAACCCTAACCCTAAAAGTAGCACTAACCCTAACCCTAATCTTAACCCTAACCCTAACCCTAGCCCTAACCCTAGCCCTAATCCTAACCCTAGCCCTAGCCCTAGCCCTAACCCTAAAACCTAACCCTAACCCTAACCCTAACCCTAACCTTAAACCTAACCCTAACCCTAACCCTAACCCTATTCCTATTCCTAACCCTAACCCTAACCCTAACCCTAACCCTAACCCTAACCCTAACCCTAACCCTAACCCTAACCCTAACCCTAACCCTAACCCTAGCCCTAGCCCTAGCCCTAGCCCTAGCCCTAGCCCTAAACCTAGCCCTAACCCTAACCCTAACCCTAACCCTAACCTTAACCCTAACTCTAACCCTTTCGGGGGGGGGGGGGGGTAATGTCCTACTGGGCGGGGGGTAATTGACAGGGGGGTAATTATTCTGGGGGGGGTAATGTCGGGGGGGAAATGCCCTGTTCCCTATATATATATATATATATATATATATATATATATATATATATATATATATATATATATATATATATATATATATATATATATATATATATATATATATATATATATATATATATATATATATATATATAAATATATATATATATATATATTTAAATCTAAGAATACATGTAAAAGATTAGGTTGAAGGACACAATTATATACTGTGCCAAGCAAAAATATTTTATTTAAAAAAATAAGAATTGATATTAAGAACAAAAGAACAAACTATTAATATAGTTGTCAAACACTAATGCTGCAGTGTGCTATACCTAAGTTGATAAATAATAATAATGAATTAATTACATGTTTTATCTGTTATTCGTAACCCGTGACCGTTGTTTAAGCATTCAGAATACTGTTTTGTGTTAGTTATAAACTAAAAATGTATTATGTTAAATTATAAACATGGGTGTCTTTGTGGAACTAAACCCTTTTCTAGAATCAATAAAAGTCAAGTTTTGTCAGACCACCACTACGGTGTAAACCTAAAGATTAAACTTTTTAGGTCATTTTTTACTTTTGCATGTTTTAACAGATTTTTCTTCTTCAAACATTCGACAACATACAAGTGTTATACTATTAGCATACTATATTATTTTATTTAGGCCTATTAAATTTGTCTCTATATTATTATCTTCTAAAGAATATGCATCACACTATTCAGTGACAACAACAGGACCTTGAGACAAATGCTATTAATAAAGGGTTTCTTTACTTGTGTGCACTTCGTTTTTAATTATATTTATGTTGGTGTATTCAACAAGTCCACCTTCGTAATCTCCAGATGATCCTAGTATTTTGTTTCCATTTTCATCTTTACTTCACTTATTTCTAAACATCTAAATCTAAACTATAATAGCTGTTGAAAAATACTGATCATTTAGAAGAATCAATGTCCTAAAAGTGAAAGGCTGTAGTCTCACTTGCTGTTATCTGAATTCTTGATCCTGTGCATCCTCCATTTTATCTCACGAAACCACTTTCATCTAGAAGCTAACTACAAAATGACCATGATGCCACAAATAAAAACCAGCTTTTATAATCACATTTGTAAATTGTGATATGTTATTTTTACATGTCTTACAACAATGTTAGATCTGCTGCAATATTTTTTTGCATAAATATGCAGTTGCATTCTGTGTTAATCACAAAAACATTAAAATGTAATTAGAAAAATGAAATTTT